GTAGAACTATCCACTTTCATACAATAACAGTCACGTGTTGTACGTCGTGGTATGATTGAATCCTTTGCAAAGTTCCTATCAATATAGTCTTCAGCGTCCATATTGTTGGTACGAAAAAATGACGCGCCCAAATTCGCCCCACCAGTCGATACAGTGTCTTGCAAACAGAATATAATCATAGGAAACGCCATCGGTTTCATTGCTAAAACAAAATCTTCGGGCGCGATGAGCCAGCTCGCGCTGCGGGCGCAGAATGACTACATCTTCAACCTCCAGGTTCAGATGGACAAGTACGCGCGCCTCATTAGCACCGTGAACGTTCGCATCAAGTCGCTCGAGGACGAGTACAAGACGGTGCAGCAAAAGGTCGCGCAGCTCCGCCTCAAGCGGTATGTACTGCATATCCTAACATGACTTTTCAGCTCAAGAAACTGCAGGAACGAAGGCGACCAGCGCGGTGGCGGCATCAACGCTGTCAAGTCCATGATCATGTGCGAAAACCGAGAAGTTGGAAAGCTCGAGAACCGGCTCGCGGCCTGTCGAACGCGGTAGGTCACCACCACACAGCTCGCAGTTTGCACATATCGGTTCTTATTGGAGCCAGTGAGAGCAAGCTCGTGGCGACCAACACGGACCTCAAGAAGAAAATTGATGCTCTCCGCGCGAATCGGCTTTTCAGTCAAACCGTGTTTGAGAAGGTTTGATCCCTTTTTCCGGCACCGAATTCGGCAGCGTAACTCGTATAGAACCAAAAACGACTTCGCGACATTCAGCGCCAAATGCAAGAGACGTTCAAGGCCTCGACGGTCATCATGGGCGAGCGGGACAAGGTCCAGTGGACCCATATCTGCCACACATATCAATGTCCCTAGGTCATTGCCCAAGCGCACTCGCTCGCAAGCGTCAACATGGAAGAGCAAGAAGCCTTTGACGACATTTACCAAAATCTAGCCATGATCATCGCCCGTGAAAAAGAGTCGGCGGGTCTGGGTTTTGTCGGATTTGCACTTTTGACTGAAAAGTGATGGGGTTAGATTCGTTTCGGAAGGAGGCCCTTAAGTCCGAGACGCTCGAGGCGCACGATGAGAACTACGTGCGTGGCAACTACCGCATCGACGAAGAAGCTGAGATGAAGCTCACACTGCACAAGCTGGACGTGGCGGTGCGCCTTCCTTCTGTCTGCACCATCGTATATTATTTTCTGTGCTAGCTTCGGGAGGACAAGACTGCGATCGAAGTCGTGAGCGAACGCCTCAAGCTGCACGAGTCGACCTTCAAGCAGATGATGGTACGTTCCATTGTAAAAATCCAAGTACGAGTCTTGACACCTGATGCGTAGAAACACACGGGATGCGACGACTATCACAAGTTGGTCGACATTTACACCAAAAAAGAAGAGGAAAATTTCGCTCTTTTTCGCTACGTGCAGGTACCGTTCGTGGAAAAAACTTGGGAATTGCAGGGTTTTGGACTAGAATATCAACAATGAAAGCGAACAACTTGAAGAGCAAACAGCAGCTTTGCAGCGCGAGCAGCAGCGGTACGTTGTCCATTTCAGTGGTTGGAGACACTACGATGCCAACAATTTAGCTATGCAGACGAACTCAAGGAAGGCAGTGCCAACATGCGCAAGCGACTCATCGACAGCTTGGAAGAAACCCGCCAAAAGTGGGCGAATTATTCTATTTGGTGTGAACTCAGGATTGTACAGAATTCTCAAGGAGAACGTCGACTACGAGCGCCTGCGCCAAAACGCCCAGCGCGAGTTCGGTCCGATTGCGCGCGCCGTCGACAAGCTCTACAACTCGCTCGGCTGTAACGAAATGGCGCCGGTAGCACATGATTCATCCCCGTTTGTGAATTTACAAACGGCATTTTTTTGTAGCCATCCGCCAACTCTGTCAACGCGGTCTCAGGCAAGAATGACGACCAAAATGCAATGGCGGTACGGTGTTGTATGATATTTCCGGCGTCCAATTCCTTGCAATCGACTAGATTCGCATGAGCTCGATGAACGACTTGTTGGCGGCCCACGGGATCACCGAGGGCAACATTCTGCAGTTCCTTGCGGTACAAGGATCGAGCCTCATCTGTGTTCAAGTTGCGTGCAATTAGATCATTGAGCAACGGAGTAACGACTTGCTCGAGCAATTTACGCGCCGCTTACAGCACAAGAACCCCCAAAACCTCGCCACGACGTCGCTCGGGGCGCATTTGCAGCCGAGCGACCCGAATCGCGCCAACGGCTTGCATCTCAATTTCAATCTCAACCAGGCGCCGCCACACTTGATTGAGGGCAATTCCGAATTAGAGAACAACAGCGACGAGGACGACGGCCTCGTGCCCGTCTCGACCAGTGAGCTCCAACGCAAGGCCGCCAAGAGCCTTTCGAGCCAAATGCAGGTCAACACCAAGTTTTCTCCTGGCAAAAACAAGAACAAAAAGCGCAAGTAGCAAGAATCGATGATGCACAAATCACAGTTGTCCTATAAGTGGTCGAGGCAGGAGGCACAATGTTAAAGACATGCAACGAAGCACAACATCCGACGTCTGATAACAGAGCGCGCGGGTCAGACGCGGGCTTGGTGCTGAAGAAGCCACGGCACATACTGCTTGCCCATCATCCACGCATCAGATCCCACATACATACTAGTATATCGTCCAGCGTCGATCCATTGGGATTCGTGCCCCTCCGCACCATCGCATTCTAAGCAACGGTAGGTATATGTGCCATATACAACCTAGAAGCGCGGACGGGACCAGAATCTTACATATCAAAATGGCTGCGGTATTGTCTTGGGTCCGTGCAAAGCCAGGCCATTTGGCGCCACGACCACGTGTTTCAAAACCGGATGGGTGGGACTTGTATGATCCTTGGCTGTAGACATCCCACCGTCAGCATTGCGTCTGTCCCTTTCCTCAGATCTGGTCGAGTTGGCTATGCATGCTAGGGACTTCAAGAATTTTAAAATCAAGATGCCGTCGCTGCGCTGCTTGGGCGTCATTGAGGGCCGCTCGATCTTGGCGCTGTTAGTCAAAACGTCTTGACCATGTCGTCGAACTACGGGTTCGCGCAAACCGGGAATCTTGACGATGGTGTTGAGATCTTAGTCTGTATTTCGCTGCTCTAGATTGCGAGTGAATCAAGCGGCGTGGCAAAGACGAAGTACCGAGCATCGACGCTTGAGTTCATGCAGGCAGCGACACATGTTGGACGATGAATTGGTGGCCACCAAGCGTCAGGCAGGAAGCAACGACCCCAACACGCAGGCCGGTTAAAAATGACGTCGTGTGATTCCACAACTATTGCACCACAATGAAAAAATCAGCTGTTTCATAGAGCTATGCACGACCCCGTTGCATGTGAATGGATAGCTCGCATCATTCGACAGTAGTTATCCACTTTGATTTGCACGAAGACGCTTGTACAACTTGGGTAGCACTGACAACGAACCGGAGTTTAAAGCTTCAAAACGCATGAGCACGATGCGCAAACGTAAGCTTCAGACCCAGCCAGCGACGATATCTATATCATGTCCAGCAAATTTGTTTGCACGTATGCGCTACCTTACTTGCTGCTTCAAAGAAAGGTCATCAGCTTTATCATCTGATTGATTCTACTAGTATCTTTTTGATTCCATCTTTCGGGCTCTAGAATTTATTCCATGCTGGGGCCAGCATTGTCATTTGGTTGCCTGGCATGGAATGAACAGTAGCGTGTTTGAATCGTTGCTCCCTGCGATCGTGTGCTTCTGATGGCTCCCGATCAGGCTGCTTGGGTGCGCCTCGAGCAGCTACTTGTTGAGGAAACGCGTTTGGCGTATGCTCAAACGAAGCGCTTGCATACGTAGACTCGTACCACTGTGCATCTCGAGCTAGATTCATGCCGCGGATTCTCTGTCCAAATCGCAGCTCATTTTCTGTTTCCGATCATGCGCTGCTTCTTGATCGTGCTGCTGGCGTTGGTGGTAGGCACCAACGCTACGTTCGACTTCAAGGCCCTCCAAGACAAGGTCCGAGCTCTCTTGCGCAAGGCCGAGCACGGAGCGCTCGATCCCATCATCGACGCCGCCGTCAAGGACGCGCTGGCCGAGACTGCCAAGATCCGGCGACCGGCGCTGCAGGCCAAGCAGCACAGCGGTGGCGCGATGCGATTCCGCATTCTGCAAATTCCCGATCTCCACTATACCAACTTGGCGCTCTACCCGTGCGACCACAAGCCTGATGCGATGCAAGGGGTGGGGGACTCGTACATGTCGCTGGCTTAAAAGGGAATGGACTAGCTCTGTGTCGAGGCCTACATGACGACTATGGTTGCGAAAATGCTTGACGATGTCAAGCCCGACTTTGTCGTCTTCACCGGCGACCAACTGGAAGCGCTCCACTTTCCGCAGGTACGGGTTAGTTGGATGTTTCTAGTTTTCGGTGCCACCCGTGGCACAGACGTGGCTCGGGTCGCTCGCGGCCGTCAACACGTACGCCGCCGAAGTTGAGAAGCGCAAGATTCCATGGGCGATGGTTTTTGGCAACCACGATGAGAATGTCGATCCGGTATCAATTTCCTAGCATGCGTGTCCTTTTGCGATACTTCAATCGTAGTACCTCTTTGCCAACAAGCGCGTCATGATGGCCTACATCGAGTCGCTTCCGTACTCGTACGCCAAGTATGGCCCGTACGGCATTGGCGGTGTCGGCAACTACGAGCTCCGCGTCGCCGCCGGTGCCGCGTCACTGGACTTGTATTTCCTCGACACGGGCAAGGACGGCGCTGTCTCGGACGGCCAGAAAGCGCTTCTGCGGTCGTTTGCTGCGTCCCACGCGCCCGAGAAAGCGCCCGCGCTAGCCTTTACCACTATTCCAGTGCCCGAGTACAACGACTTTAACGGCACCGGCCAAGGCACGAAAGGCGAAGCCGTCAGCTCCGGCGTCAAGAACACAGGCCTCTTCGACACGATGGTCCAGAGTAGGATTCAACTATCATCACACGCGATGCCGAGTGGCGGTGTGTAGTGGGCGATGTCCAGGCGTCGTTTTGTGGTCACGATCACTTCAATGACTACTGCTTTCTTCGCGGTTCGGTGCACCTCTGCTACGATGGCGGGGTTGGCTACGGTACGTTGCGCGCTTGACCATGCTTGTCGACTGTGAAAGGAGGTTAGGAGCGGCATATGCCCAGGGCGACCACCCGCGTACAGCTCGCGTGATTGAATGGAGCGTGTCATCCACGAATGAGTCGATCGCAACGTGGCTCTACAAGCACAACATCAAACACACCAACGACAAGTACTTTGTCTACGAGCGTGACCTGACCACCGTTTAAGCGAGCCATAACAATTCGTTTTTGAGCAGCAAATCTCCTATTTTAGAGACACCTGCATTCTATACCTTGACTACGCAAGTATGGTACTCTGTTCGACCATAAATGCTTTGGGAGTATATAACCAAGTCACTAGACATGTAGACGACGTGTGCCTTACAGGTTATAGAAAACTGGTGTGTCCTTGACGGGCAAAACATTACTTGGGCGCCGAGCGATGGAAGAGGCCATACTGCTGGTACGAGTTGGTCGCTTCGTGGAAATACTGCCACGTCGAGATGCTCTCTTGACCACTCGAAACCTTCCAGTCGATGACGCGCACGCGGCGCGAGTAGCTGCCCTTGCCGTACGCCGCACCTATACATGCATCGTCACATCAAACTGCGCTCGTCCAGTATACCGTAGCCGGTCGCGCCGCCGTAGCAGAGGTGGAGGGGGCTCTTGTAAAAGCAAAAGTCGTTAAAGTGATCGTGGCCGCAAAACGACGCCTTGACGTCACCCATCTCGACCATCGTGTCGAAGAGGTGGCTGTTGGTCTTGGCCGCGCTCACGGGGTCTCCGCGGCCGCCCTGGCCGGTGCCGTTGAACGCCTTGTACTCTTCAATCGGGATATGGAAGAACATGAGTGCCGGCGCCTTCTCGATCTTGTGCGACGCCGCGAGCGACTTCATGTGCGCCTTCTGGCCCTCCGAGACCGTCCCGTCCTTGCCCGTGTCCAAAAAGTACATGCGTAGCGCTGTCGCGTTGGTTGTCGGCGACTGGACGGCGACTTCGTAGTTGCCGACGCCACCAATGTCTTTGGGCCCGTACTTGGCGTACGAGTACGGGAGCGACTCGATGTAGGCCATCATGACCTTTTTGTTGGAGAGCAGCGCCTATTCGAAATGATATGGTTAGGGGCTAGGGTCCACTAAAGAGACGACCCACCGGCGTGTAGCTCTCGTCGTGGTTGCCAAAGACCATGGCCCACGGGATCTTGCGCTCATTCACGGCCGCCGAGTACGAGTCGATGGCTTTGAGCGCGTTGGTCGACGACTAGAAAATACTTTAGTGGGTGCAAATCGGACATTTGCGTTACCATGGGCCAGATGAGCGATTCGATTTGGTCGCCCGTAAAAACGACAAAGTCGGGCTTGACGCTGTCAAGCATCTTGCGCATCATTTCTGTCATGTGCTTTTCATAGCATGCCTAGTCATGTTTCAGAATAGATCATGAGCAGTAGCGATCTTGCAACGTACGCCCTTGTGTGAGTCGGGCTTGCCGTTGCAAATATAGTAGTCGTAGGTGGTGTAGTGCATGTCGGGCACTTGGAGCACACGGTACGCGAGGTCTTTGCCGACTTGGCGAGCGCTGAGCGACGGGCGCGTGATCTTGGCCGACTCGAGAAGCGATGCTTGCACGTGGTCGTCGATCACGCCTTCGATGCCGTCCTCGTCGCCGGCCTCGAGGTGGCTGTTGACGTCGTCGGCGAGCGCATCGATGTCGATGGCAGCGACAATGGCCAACGAGGACAAAAGCAGTGCAAGGCGCATGGTGAAGAATCGGAAAATGGAAATGAAAGCTCTAGTTTAACCCGGCTGCATCTGATACATGGCTGCTTCAATGCCTCGCAACTCTGATTTGAGCAGCGAATCTCGGAGAAAATGAGCAACCATGGCTTGAATCTTCTTCGTCTTTCGTTTCGCCCTCTGTGCATACACATGCGTAGTCTAGTTGTGGAGGCTACTCGCTGGGTGGAAAACTGCTTTGAAATCATAGTCCTCGCATCAGCGCACGTGCATTGTCTATTGAGCCTTAAAGATTCAAAAATACAATGGACGACGATTGTCGTAAGTCTGTACCACCAAGACCGGTTTGAGGAGCGTCGACTTTTGACATTCAGATTCAAATCTAAAGCAGCAGTGCTGGTTGTGGTGGAGCTAACCTTATAATAGTACGATCGAAAGAATGGTGCTGTTTGAAATGTCTACAGGCAACGTCTGGTGAGACGCAGCGTCATCCTATGAGGAGTAGAACGAATACGCTAGGCTCATCACGATGATTCAAGTCACCCGTTTCGTGCCGAATCGAAGTAATGAGACGAAAACATTTCCATAGCTTGGTGGGACTCGAGCTCTCGACCTGCACGGTCGGACAGTTGCGTGCGACGCCTTGTTTACGCAAGCCATTCGCCGTGCTGTGGTCTTCACGAGTGATCATCCCCTTGGGTGCTTTGACCCGTTGCAAGTCGACCAATCGCTGCAAACGAGCAGTGCATTTGCCTCCTCACAGGTGACGACTCGACGCGGCAGAGGCGATGCGTCATTTCAGAGCCCAAGGCGAGCAAGTGCAAGGCAATAGTGCAGTAGTATCTAGTACCATCGTACGTGGCCCATCGTGGCACCGCGACCGACTCTGCAGCCGCAGAAAACGGTCGGACCCCTGTCGGCCCGAGTAGGTCCGGATGCACGAGGTGCAGAGACACGGAGACGTCCCGATGTTTTTCAGGATCGCGCACGAGAGTGGGTGAACGATGGCCCAACGGTGGGACAGAAAGCCTGGATCAGGCCAGAGATACTGCGGTAATACTTGGCGCCATCCACTGCCGTCCATCGTCACGGTTGACCCAACACAACTCTCGCAGCAGCGCAAGAATTGCGAGCTCGTTTTCCGTGTGTTCCGATACACATGGTAGTGGGGACGAACCCAGAGTACAGTGCCGATACCGGTGAGCATGCTCTCATTTTTCAATTGGCACGATGAAGCTCGCTTGCCTTGCAACGACGCTCGCGCTCGCGCTGACGGGTGCCGACGCGCAGCTCAACATCAACTGGCTCGTCAAGATCGTCGCGGACAAGCTCAAGGAATTGGAGCTCCCGGTCGTCAACCAGTTTATCGACGGCGAGGTGCAAAAGGCCCTTGTCGAGACCGCCAAGATCCAGCGGCCGCCGCTTGTGGCGCGCCAGAACGGCGACGTGCTCTCGTACAAGATTCTTCAAGTCCCTGACATGCACTACACGGCCAACCGGTTCTTCCCGTGCATGGACAAGCCCGACGATATGAAGAAGCTTTGTTTTGAGTCGCACATGACCGAGATGATGAACAAGATGCTCGACGACGTTAAGCCCGACTTTGTCGTCTTTACCGGCGACCAAATCGAGTCGCTTTGGTATCCGCAGGTGCGTTCACCTGACGTTTATTTCGAGGTTCTAACGCTTTTTGTAGACATGGCTGTCGTCGATTGATGCGATCGACACGTACTCCAAGCACGTGATTGACCGCAAGCTGCCGTGGGCCATGGTCTTTGGCAACCACGACGAGAGCATTACACCGGTGCGTCGTGCTCTTTCAACCACTTTATTATGGACCAAGGCGACATGTAGCACCTCTTTTCGAACCGCAAGATCATGATGGCGTACATCGAGTCGCTTCCGCACTCGTACGCCAAGTACGGTCCGTTCAACATTGGCGGCGCTGGCAATTACGAGCTCTCGCTCAAGTCGCCCAACGCCACCGACATGATGCACATGTACTTTGCAGATACGCACAACGACGGCGACATTGCGCCAGCGCAGCTCGACTACTTCAAGTCCGTCTCGGCCAAGTACAAGGGCCGGGACGTGCCGGCCCTCATGTTTTTCACATTCCGATGCCCGAGTACAACGAGTTCAACGGCATTGGGCAAGGCGACCGTCGCGAAGGCATCGGCGGCCATGCCAACCACAGTCTTTACGAAGCCATTGTCGAGAGTATGTGTGACAGAGGAGGGTGCGATGAGGATGCTCATGGTGTCGCTCGGTATTAGTGGGCGATGTCAAGGCGACGTTCTGCGGCCACGACCACTTGAACGATTTTTGCTTCAAGAAGGACAACTTGCACATGTGCTATGGCGGCGGCGTCGGCTACGGTACCCACGCGCAACTTCATAGTCGACGACAGAGCTCAACATGGGCTAGGTGCTGGCTACAACAAGAAAAACCACGCGCGCACGGCCCGCGTGATCGAATGGAGCCGGTCACCGACGAACGAGTCGATCTCGACGTGGCTGTACCGCCACAACCAAGTCAACAGCCAGGACAAGTACACGGTGTTTGAGCGCACGTTTTTCTAAACACTACTCGTGTGTCGTCCAATTAAAACGATGTTACTAGTACCATTGTTGCACACTAGTATGCGCCTCGATTCGTTGATCTTCGCCCATCAAGAAGCCCAAAAACGTCATATCATGTACTAATTTACTGTCACTTGTAGAGTCGTTCGTTTGTGCATACGCAGTAGATCACTGATTTGGGCATCGGTTTCAGCGTATTCGTAGAATGAGGAGTAGATCGCATTACATTGTTATGTTCTTGCCGAATGCGTGGGTCGAGGAGGTCGGACTATAAAATAGTCGAACATTGCACCTAGTGAACCACATAAAAATCCTCGCGCGTCGATCCATGAAGTGCCTTGAGACCCACAACTCGACGATCTCGCTAATTTTTCAAGGAGATTCTATTCTACCAAAAGTTCTTCATCTCAAACCTCGTGGAACAATATTTTCCTCAAACGGTACCACCACGTCGGCGTTCGCTCTTTATACCATTTTACCAATAACCAGCTATCCAGAAAGGACGCCCTCCGAGGATATATCACTTGCTCGTGTCCATGTATCAACGGTGCTCTTGGCGTTGGCGGGGTTGGCCTTCGACTTCTTGAAAGCTCGAACCGCCACGTATCTTGAAGCTCGGGTTGATCCAATCAGATCATTCCGTTTCACCATGTCGCATTGTTCGGACCAATCGTATCGCGCTTCGGTTGGCGCCACACGGTGCCCCATACTCGACTTCGCCACGAGCATTGTGCGAACGGCGACATGGTCACATCAGCCTACCTGCGCGGCGTCTTTCATCTCCGACGACCCGACGCAGCGCGGCTGCCGCCAAAGCCTGTCAAGTCCCAAGCGCCCGACTTGGATCAAAACCCCAAGCGGGAAGATGTAGTGTTGCACCTCGAACGCGACTCGCTGCGAGAAGAACTCGCAGTCTTTGTCAGCCAACGCCAACTGACGTCGCTGCGTATTCCGCTACCGCGTCACTGGACGATGAACCACCGAGCATCCTTGGATGCCATTGCGGCCTCGGTGCACGGCCTCACGGTGGCCATCGACGACGACGCGCTTATCGCGTCGCTTCCCAACACGAACGACGCACCCGAAGTCTTTGTCAACGTCCCTGAGCTGGCTGCGAAAGGTCGCGACTCGTTTGTTGCGCACCTCCGCCATGACCGCATGGATTCTGCGGGTGCATTTCAAGTCTGTGCGACGAAAGGTGTCTGACGATTTGTGTAGGCGGTCATCGAGTGCACATGCTCTGGGATGTCGCCCAGTTGCAGTCCACAAACGCGCACGCATTCGAGTCCGTCGTGGGCGGCGAAGGCGGCGTCTATGCGCTGTCGTCGTCGACGTCCGGCGCCAAGGTCGTCATGTTCAAGCCCACTGAGGAAGAGGTGTTTGTTCGCGAAGGCCTCTGCGCGGGCGAAGGCGCCGTGCGCGAAGAAGCCGCGTACGTACATTGAGAGGATATGTGCGCGACTCGAAGTCTCCTCTGTTGTAGCTATGTCTTGGACGCTGCGATGGGCGGTTTTAGCGGCGTTCCCCCCACGGCCGTCGCTCGGCTCCACATGGCCAACTGCAAACGCAAGAAGCCCAGCGGCACCAACAACTCTGGCTGGTTCAAGCTCGGAGCAGTCCAGCGGTTCATGGCCCCAAGCGCCGGCAGTATGGAAGACTTTGGCATGCCCCATGCGCTCGAGAAAGCTGTTCAAATGGCTTCCGTGGATCAAGGTACCGATTTCTTTAATGCGATGGCCTCATGTGTCTCTAGTCCACCGCATTGGGCTCCTCGATGTGCGTCTCTTCAACACGGATCGCCACGGCGGCAATCTTTTGCTCCTCGGCAAGACCGCACCATACAAACTCGTGCCCATTGACCACGGCTGTATCCTTCCGAGCTGGTATTTTTGCAACTTGATACAGCGTGTAGCCTCCACACTGGACTAGGGACCGTCTCAGCGAAGCGCGTCTGGACTGGGCCACGTACCCGCAGGCCCAAGCGCCGTTTAGTCCTGCGATGCGACAACACGTCGCAGCCTTGAATGCATCGGCGGACGCCCATCGCCTTCGCCGTCTTGGTATGAACCGATCTTGTTTTGGACACTATTTACCGATCGCTATGGAGGCATTCGTGAAGAGTGCATTGCAACGCTATCCATTTGCACGCTCGTGCTCAAGACAGCGACGCTGGCCGGTGCGTCGTGCTATCTCGTGCAGCCGACACACAATATATATCGCTTCTATTGTAGGCAAATCCCTGGCGTGGATCGGCGCCTACTTGAGCCGAGATGGCTGCTTTGAAGCGCCGTCACGGCTGGAAGAAGCTATCGCGCGCGCGTGCACTGCATGCGACATCCCTTATTTATGGACCAAGAACGACCACGGCGAAGCCCGCTTCGACGTACGTCGACTCTAACGCGTCAAGCACTCGAGTGTCTGTAGGTCACCGACGGGATTCTGCGCCGTCGCCCCCCAAACATCTTTTACACCTGCCTTCAAAAAGCCGTGACGCTCGACGTGACGGCGACCAAGTAAAGAAAACAGTAGTATTTTTATCCAAGTATTTTGAAAGATTGATACATAATGCATGCACTTTAGCCTACAACGTCAACACGTCTTTTGTGACTTTGACCGGCCGCCGCGCGTCTTTGGCTTTCAAGTACGATTGGAAATCCTACATAGGTTGATGGATTGATACAGTGGCAGTGGAAGGTTGTGTACCCTGTCTTTGATGGCGTATTTCTTGGCGAGGAGCTGGCTCGGATCGTTCTGGCCCATTTCGTCCTTGGACGGACATACTTTGGTGTAGCTAAACACCGTGATCGCGTCCTAGACGTACACATCGATACTGGCAGCGACAAATAATGCGTCTACGCGGGCAGGGGACTTGGCTTCGGCCGCAGCAATGTGTGCAAACGAGCTGCGTCCCGAGCTGCGCTGGTCACAAAGGCTTTGCAGGTGGTATGCTTTTTGGGATAGCGCGTGCATTTGTTTGATCAAGTCCTACGGAACATTTGATACTTTCGTGTGATGCAACGTCGGTCACCGGCTTGGGCTCGGCCATCGACAGCATCCGTTTTTGGAGGGCGCGCGTTTTTTCAAAGTACTCGTTGGCGCGCGCAGCCACATCAGTGGCTGGTAGCGGTTGCCAACGCAGCGGTACTTTGTTTGGTCCAACGAATCCTTGGGTAAATCCCTATCTCACGGAGGTTAAATTCTGTCTTGCTCAGAACTAAACCAACTATCAAGTAGGTTGTTTACCTGTGAGAAGAGCGCCCACGTCACAAGGCTCGTGGTAGGCGGGTCGACATCTTCTTGATCGATCTCGGCGGCGGTCATGGGCCGCGTAATGTGTGCGAGTAGCTCGGAAAAACTGCTTTCTTCGTCGAGAACATAATCGTTGAAGACGAGCTGCTGCCCATGGTCGAGCATTTCCGAGATAATGTGCCCGAAAAGGGTTGCAAAAATACCTCTAAGTGTCATTTGTAACCAGTTGGATGTCAAAAAATCGTGTTCCACCCGCGTTTGCGGGGGTCAGCCGCCCGAAAGGCTTTGCGCAAATGGCAGAGATCCCACTCGTCCATGACCGTTGCGTTCTGAGCAATCGCAATCGCGCGGTTGCTCGCATTCGTTTGACTCGTAAACGACGCGTCGGTCATTTGAAATTGCTTCTTTCGTTCGGCCTCTTCTTGGGCCTAGCCGGAGCCATGAGGTTGTGATCTATGAAATCTACGCTTGCCTTGTGGCGTCGTTCGATCACCGACACTTCCTTCATTAGCATCTTGACGGTGCCCGACCATTCGTGCGGCTGTGGCTCTTTTGTCAACTGGTGGTTGTTGCTGGCTTTGGCTGCGTGGTCGGGACGCCGCAGGTGTAGCCTACCGAGCCATCGTGTGAGTATCCAAATCCATGAATCTTCGCAAAAAATATCCAAATTTGTACTTTTTGGCGGCGATGCGCTCGTCGGGGGTGATGACGTGGCGATCAAACACCTCGAGCGACGGAATTGCTGCAATCACGTGCAGACGGTAGTTTTCCTCTTCGGCCAGCGGATTGCCAAACAAATCTAATGAAATGTGTGAGTTTTGGGGCCTTTTCCACGAGAAAAATGGACCCAAATCGTGCAAGTGCAAAAGCTTGGAGAGCGTTCGGAGCGTCGCGTGCAGGTCCTGGAGACGGTTGTTGAAGAGTCGAAGTTCGCGTAAAAACGTGAAGTGCAGAAGCGATCCATCGACCGTCCTATCCATCATCATCAGAAAATCGCAAGCGCCCCCGCAAACTAGGATGCGTCGTACGAGATGCGGTTGTTTTGCGCAAACAAGTACTTGATGCGGAAGCACGTGTCGAGACCCGTGAGTTTTTCAATCTACCATCATATGAGTCTTTGTCGAAAATTCTTGAGCGTGAAGGTACATTGTTGTCGTTGATCCAGAGCACCTCGAGGCTCACAAACGGTTCAAAATTGCCGAGCACATCGATCTCGCGGTGCGCCAGCACAAGCTCGGTGCAGTTCTTGACGTACTTTTCGTTGGCGACCGCGAGCTCCTTGTGCGGCTCCGACACGCGCATTTCGTCGATTCTGGCCATCTAATTTTATCGTCCGTTAAGGTTGAAGTTACCAGCGATGACGTGGCACGCTCCCGTAAAAAGAAAAAAATGCAAGGCACTTCATTAAATTCATGGCGGCATCGATGCGATACGAGCTCGCTTCCGCGTACTCACGGCATGTCAATGTCGTCCTTGGCACGGCGAAGCGCCTCGAGCTTGTTGCCCAGTTCGTCGCGGCGCAACGCGTCAGCGTCGCTCTCAAAGAGGATGCGCTCTAGAATTTCATCCGTCGCGTCCATCGTCTCCCAGCGGCGCGCCAGTTGCATCACATATGACTCGACAAGAGTGCTGTTGAGCTCCATTGGAACCAGGTCCGTAAAGCGCTTCTTGGCCACGTGCAGGTACGCCGAAATCGCATGGTGGAGGTCGGTGGCTTGGGCGTCCTCGTTGCTCACCGAGCCAACACTGGCGTGCATCTGGAGGAGGGCCTTGACCGCCCCCATCGACACGTTTGCTCCGTCATTGTTGCCTAGTCCATCCATCATTATGAGTGCATTTTCTGGCGTGCGAATGGGACACATACCTGAGAGTGCGTCGAGCCCTTGCATCAGCGGCTGGTAGCGCAGCGTCGTAAAGTCGCGGTACATAGCGTCGTTTTGCGTGTACGGGCGCTTCTCCTTGTGCATAATCTTGTCGAGCGCTGGTTTGGTCGCGTCCGCGCACGTGGTCAGCACTTGGTTGGCGATGCGCTCGAGGTGCTGTTGGACCCCTGTTGGCGCTTGCGTCGAGATGATCGCGCGGCGCGTCACCTCGGCGAGCAACGCCTTGTAGCCCTCAAAGAGCGTTTGCATCGGGGCTTCCCATGCGCTCAAATAGTGCTGCTCGGTCACGTTCGCAAACGTCGTGTACGAGAGGAAGAGCGAGAGCTCGTCGCCGCGGCTGTCAAGCATGAGCTGCTTAAGCTCCGTCGTGTCGAGAACCGTCATGAAGCGCCACTCACTGCCGCGCTCCAACCATGCGTGGCTGTGGGCGGCAGTCAACACACGGCTTTTGGAACCGACCTTGGTAACCTTTTGCACCTGCCATTCGTCGTCGCCTTCATGAACTTCGACGTAATCGCCGACCAGTGGCTCTCGCTTGGGCATGTCGACCACATTGACGTCGATCGTCGACAAGCTGTCAATGGCCTCCTGGAAATCGCCTTCCAGGCGTCGCAGCTGGGCCCGCAGTCGGTTGTCGTCCGTCCCGTCGCGGAAAAAGTCGCCCTTGTACTGCCCGTGGGCCGCATCGTCCAAGTGTTGCTTGGCAATACGGACGTGCTCCATGTAGACCTGACGGCGGGTGCCGGCCGTGCGCAGTGGCGGCCCCATCGCCGCGAGCTCGCGCTGACAGTCGGCGGTTTGCGTGTCAATCTCGGCGTACACTTTGGGCAGCTCGCTCTCGACAAACGCGAGCAAAAGCATCGAGAGCTTGGTCGCGAGGCGACCTGTCCCGAGCAAGTGCGTGTCCACGCTGCGCCAGACGCTGTGCGTTGCAAAGTAGGTGGCCTCTTCGTTGCGCGCGGCTTCAATCGACACGCCCTTGTTCAGCGCGTCTTGCCCGCGGCACTTGACCATGTGGTAGCCGTGGCTCCGATTCTTCATGGTGCGGTTCGCGAGCAGATCAAGAACGGCCTGCTCCGAGCCGACGTCGACGAGGTCTGGCTTGGTGAGGATCGACATGGTCCGCGTCCCGTCCGCGTCCACCTCCTTGGAAAGGTGCAAAATCTCAGTGTTGTGCACGTCCACGTTGGCGAGCACGACGGCCAAGATGATCGTGCGTTCTTGGTGCAAGAAGCGCTGCACGAGGGCCCGGACGCGCGCAATCATGCCCACGTCTTCATCGTCGCCGACCGTGCGGATGAGCCCCGGGAGGTCGACCAGCGTCAAGTCCGGCAGCGCGGGACCTTCCAGCGCGATCTCGATCCAGTCGTCGCTGATGCTCTGGCCTTCGTCGACGAGCTGCTGCGTGAGTGATGCAATCGCAGCCGTGACGTCGGCCATGCTCGCAATAGCCGTCGGTGGCTCGGGAGTCCCGTTGTAGCGCATGAGGCGCGCCGAGCCCGAGAGTTTAGGTGCCTGCGAGAGCACGAGCTGCGTCGGACAGCGCGTTGTGAGCGTGCTCGACGACGGAAACGTGATGCCCGAGATGGCCGACAAGACGGACGACTTGCCGCTCGACGTGTCGCCCATGACGGCAATCTGCGGCAAGGCAATGTACTTGTCGAGGTGGTAGGCGCGGAGGCGGTCGACCAAGTGGCGGCGACTCTCGCCCACGCTCGTGACGAAAGGCGTCTCGGTGGGGATCGGGGCCGAAGCGGCGGTGAAGGAGCGGAACATGGTGGCAAAAGCAAGTGTGCTGGACGACGACAATGGATGTTTCCCCAGAGAATGGACGCAGTTCTACTTGTCCGTTGGGCCCAGAACGAGCGCTTTTCAAGACAGTGTACTACAACAAACTTGGTAAAAATCGACAACAGCGATGTCGACGGACCGCGCAGACTGCTTGGACCAATGACTACTTCGTCCTAAACATGAGTGCTTTGGGTGAATTCCGCTGCATCTCACGCAATGGCTGTTCAGAGAGCACATTGAACGTGGACACATCCTGGCTGTACAAATGATGAAACAAACATTCTGTCGCCTCATTTCCAGAGCCAAACAGGCGTCTCGGTGCACAGGTCCTTTTTATCGACCCTGGACGGTCCGAGGTTCGTACACAATGTAAAATATGAAGGCGACTACTATAGTCGTACCTCAGGTTTTAGTCATGCTGGTGCCAGCAGCTCTGGTTGTCCAGTTGCAAATCATTTCCTGAGTTGAACGTCGTGAGCTGGCTTGGGCGATATGATTGGCTATAATAAATCGATACTTACGTTTGATTGGCGCGTTTCGCATAATCCAATTGCGATGGCGTTCGCCCAGGCCTGGAAGGTGCAGGCGGTGGCCCTCTTCCGCTTGCTTCACGGCCATGCCGAGATCCCGAGCGGCTACGTCGTCCCGCCCGATGCGCCGTGGCCAACGTCCATGCATGGGCTACCGCTCGGCGCCATTCTCACCAACGCTGGCGCTGGCGTCTGCAACCCGACGGACATGGCATCGGCCGTTCCACCGCTCGGCAGAGCCACGGCAGCTCCGACGCCGTCCAAACGCCGGGCATCGACTTCACGTGACAAGCGCTGCAAACGGGCTCGGGTCGGTGGCGAGCTCGACGAGTCGCTTCGGACGGGACCGATCACCCGACGCAAGCAGGCGGCAGTGGACGCGCTTGGCGTTGACGGTGTAACCTCGAGTGACGAAGAGACCGACAGCTCGCCACCCAAGCCGCGTTCTGTTGAGTCAGATGGCGGGTTCAGCAGCGATGACGACGAAAGCCCGAAAACCAACGCTTCATCCTCCTACTCCAAAGCCCCGTTGTTCGGTCGTGCTGCGGGCAAGAAGCAACGGCATGTGTCGACGTGGGAAGACAAGATCGACGCGCTCAGTGTGTTCCGCAATGAGCATGGGCATGTCAACGTCCACTGGCTATTTCGCGTGCCGGCGTCGCCAGCGTACTCGCCGCACTTGCACGGCATGACGCTTGGCACGGTCGTTGGCACTATCCGCGGTCGATGTATTTTGCTCACGCCCGCGCGCCTCCGCGACCTCGACGCCATCGGCTTCCGTTGGAGATGCGACGCGGGGGGCTACAGCTACACGACTTGCGAGAGGCACCCAACCAACCCTCATCTTTTGCACCTGCAATTTGTGTCGTGGCAGGACCAGATCGAAGCTCTCCTCACGTACCGACGTCTCCACGGCGACCTCGAGATACCCGACGGCTTTTTTGTGCCATCGTCTGCCGAATGGCCGAGTGCGGCGCACAACATCGAGCTCAAGTGCGTCCTTCCAGTGCTGCGCATGCACGTCTACGAGCTTCCACCAGACTATGAAGATCGTTTGCATCGACCCGAGTCGGGCCTCATGCCCAACATTCCCAACTTTGATACGTTTCTGCGTCTGGTTGAGATCTACCGCGACATGGTGGGCAGCGGCGCCGTCGCCCGGGACTTTGTTGTGCCACCAAGTGGCGGCGACTGGATCGACGCGTGGCGCGGCTTGAGCCTCGGCGACCTCGCGTGGTCCGTCGGCTTGAACATGGCCGCTCTCACTTGCCACAAGCGCGCGCTTCTCGAAGGCACCGGATTTGTCTTCAACTCTGCGGCGACGTGGCATCGCATTGTCGTCGGTCTGCGCACGTACCACTTGGTCCACGCCAGCGCGTCCGTGCCGACAGCGTTTGTTGTGCCAAGTTTGCCCGAGTGGCCGACGGACCTGCACGACATGCGACTCGGTCATTGGGTCGACGTCATGACGTCGGCGAGAAGATACCGACTGCTTCCGGCGGCAACCGTCGCTGCCATCGATGCAATTGGAACGCGTGAGGAAGACAATGGTGCTCTCGAGCCAGCAGCGACTCCAAGTGGTATGGTTGGTGCGTCGCCAGCACCACCGATGAATGGCGTGGACGAAGCGGCGCCGACCTCGACGACGCTTGCCGTTGCCAGTTTGACAACAGCCCAAGACGCACCAACAAGAGCCACTGATGAGTCCGAGGTCGCATCTGCTGACGACACCGAATCTCTTGGCAACGACGACGCAAGTGACGACGACGACGACACGATGGGTTTCGACGACGGAGGCATCGACGTCCAAGACGACGAGATCGACATCGAGCCAGCAGCGGTCGGTGGTTGCAGCGGCGAGTCGGCAGCACCAACGTCGGTTCGTATCGGCACGGCCGATAGCAGTGTCACACTACCGCGCTCACCCGCAGCGATGACCCCCGTCGGCTTGCCAGCGCACCAGGAGCCACCGCCAGCGGGTGCCAACGAGCCCGACGCCGGTGCTCAGCTTGCCTCTCGCTTCGAGTCTCCAGAGCTCAGTGATCACGTCGACAACCAGTCGACGCCCATGCTCCTAGCGCTGGCCACCTTCAAGACGCTCTACCACCATCTGGATGTGCCCCAAGACTTCGTGATCGAAGCTACGGAGCCCTGGTCTGCGTCCGTGCACAGCCTCCAACTCGGCAACGTCGTCATGTCCCTGCGGCTGCTGACTCCGACGTGTCTTGCACCGTGGATCGTGGCCCGTCTTACGACACTTGGCTTTGAGTGGACACCACTGCGCTTTGACTCGGTGGACGGCGCCATGCAGCGTCTCGCCGCCGAGTTCCCGGCGCACCCGCCGACGTCGTTTGTGGTACCTGCCCAGTCGCCATGGCCGCAAGATCTCTGGGACGCCGACTTGCTCCCGCTGGGTGCCAAGCGTGATGCGTGGCTGGCAGAGATGGAGATCCAGTACGGCGCGTCGCTGGCACTGCTCATGGGGCCGTCAGCCAGACCACCCGCACCGA